TGACATGTGATTCAAGAAGCATGAGGGACTAGTATGTCAGTCCTTCAAGAAACTCACAAGGTCCTGTCAGAATGCAGGTGTGATCTTTTCCTTTGTGCACTTGTGGTAGTGGTAGCTAGTCTTCAAGAATGACCCCGTTGAACAATAATTGAGTATTAATATCCTTGCATAACTCTCTCTGTATTTCAATTGGGGTTGGATTTGCTACTCTAACCCAATAGAAGGCAATCAAGTGATTCTATGCCAGTTCCTGGACCAACTTGCAGGAAGGCTTAGCAGATTTTGTTTCTTGGGCTGTTGTTCTGAGCAACCCTGTGAAAAGTCCAGTTACTAAGGTGGTAAGGCCACATGGAGATGGATGGAGAGAAGAATCCTGAGACTTCTGGCTTTTCTTTGAGCACATTCCAGCACCTTATTGGAACTAAAGGGATACCAGAATTAAAAAAAAAAAAAAAACAAACAAACAAAAAAAATGGAAGAAAGGGGCTGTGGATATAGCTCATTGGTAGAGTGCTTTGCCTAGCATGTAGAAAGCCTTAGGTTCAATCCCCAGGATTGCCAAAAAACATAAGACAACAAAACTCGGAAGTGCCCAGGCAATTCAGAGGTGGCAGAGTTAAAATAACTAAAAGAATGAATGAATGAATGAATGAATGAATGAATGAGGAGGGAGCTTGTTATAAACCACTAAGTTTAGGAGTACATTGTTATGTAGCAACAGATTACAGAAATAGTTGTTATCCTTAAGCCTCTCTCATTTTTAAGTATAGGCCTGGGGGCAAAATCAGGAAAAAGCTTTGGAGCCCATCAGAGACATCATCATTAGTAAAGGAGACAAAGTAAACTTAGACCCAGGTTGGAGGACTTAAGAACATCACCAAATGTAAATAAACTTACAGGTACTTATTAGTGATGCCCTAAACCCAGAGCCTGAGCTAGAACATTCTAGGTAAGCACTCTACCTACTGAGCTGCATCCCCCCACATCCTAGTTAGTAATTTAAAAAAATAATAATAATATATATTGGAAAAAAAAATATATATATATATATAAAACTTGTCTTGATTTATTTTGGAAACATACATAAAACACCTGTAGGTTCAATTCCTGGTAACAGCAACAACTAAAGTGTGTCAGGAAATAAGCATCTAGCCATTGTGGGCTAAGCTCTCCATACTGGAGGCCAGTACAGAATCTTTGCATTTTGAGAATAAGGAAGAAGGCTTTTTTTTTTTTTTTTTTTTGCCTCCATGAAGACACCAACTAATTGCTGTTAAAGTTACCAGGTAGGTCTGATAAATTTCAGATAAATATGTGAATTCCTTTTATAAGTGGCTAAGAGATGATATCACAATGAAACTATTTAGGTGTTATTCTTACCCCAGAAGATTACTATACCATTAGGTAGATTCACTCTGAGAAAAACATTGGCATGTTCTTTAAATTTTTACTGATGTTAGGAAGAGCACATACCAGGGAAAAAGGAATTGGGAGAAAATGGAGTGGGTGTTATGAACCAGAATATATCATTTTTACACAACTCATTTTGTTTTGTTTTTTAATACTAAGAACTGTACCTGTCACATAATAGATGCTCGATATTCTCTTCCTCCCCCTGTTCCTTTGTTTTGACAATAGTATACAGAGAAAGGATTTTATACCCATTATTTCAGCACAGATTTTGTTCTTCCTGCTTACAAGGTGCTTCCTTCTGGGCTCAGAATATTCATTCATGTGAAGAAAAATGAAAAAGTCTTTACCCTATCTTCATCTGGAGTAGGATGTAATATGTTCATTCGGTTCCAGTCCCTCACCACATGATAAGTCTGTGTCCAACTGAGTATGTCGTAAAGTATGCTGGTCTGGGATCAAGCCATATCTCCTGCTTAATTTTTCACTGTACCATCTGTTCCTACCTCCCTTCTAATGAGAAGTTTTGCTGTGTGCTTCTTCCGAATTATCAAGCACCTTTATGAGAATAAAGAATTCCATTACAGTTCAGTGGTAGAGTGGTTGGCTATTGTGTGTGAGGCCCTAGATTTGATCCCTATCATTAAAAAAGTGTGTGTGGAGGGGAAGCAAGCCAGCAAGCCAAAGAATTCAATTTACACCATCTCCAACACACTAACAGAGCTCCCACGGGCCATTTCTCCCAACTTTGTTCAGGACACTGGAAATTAAAATTTATGAGTGGAATACTTGGTACATATTGGGAACTAAATGAGTTGTTGTGATAGTAATTATGTTCCTTAATATAAAAACCCACCTATGGCTTAGATTCAAATAATTTGGCTGAATAAAAGGAAAAAATTAAACCCAATTATTCTTGCTGAAGAAATTTTGGTTTGATGATCTTCTACTTTAATCAAAGTCTTAAACATTTTGCTAAAGCCGATGTCACAACTGATATTCTCGAAATTGATGATGTTAAAAAATGATTTTTGTGAAGTCACTCTGTGTGTGTGAAGATTCAAGTCAGAATAAAGATCACTAGACCTGTATGCATGCCCATACTTGCTTGGCTTGCTGAGAATCATTGCTTTCCCATAATCCTGACAACTTATTAGGGAAGGAATAGAACTGTGAAATGCATGCAGTAGTTAGAGCATTCCTCTAGCTACATGAAGAGCTCCCACAGCAGGGTCTGTAGCATATGTTTTACATCTCTGTCATGGCACCTGGTAAGTGCTCAGAAATCTAATCAACCTGCATGATTGTTGATATTTTTCATTAGGGCTTCCGGGGGAATTGACTGGTTCCTTGCTTTATGTGTCTATTCAAAATAGTCACCCGGTGGCTATAATTCCTTTCTTTCAAGTAATGTGTTGGGACATAAAAATTTTAACAAGAAAATAAACTATTAAGGGCAAGAAGCAAAGAAGCTGAATAAAAGCCAGGAGAGGCAGTGTTCTAATAGAAGAAAAAAAATCTCTGCATTTTGATTCAGAGGTTCACCTGGTTTAGTCACTTAGGTTTGTGAGTTTGGAGGAATCACTAACCTTTTGTGAATGCTAGTTTGTTCATCTGTAAAACAAAACAAAACAAAACAGATGACAAAAGCTCTTTGGATAATGATAAAACCTCACTGGATTGTTGCACAAATCCAATGAGATCGTGCTGAAGTTAGCCTGTCCTTGCTGTGGATGGTGATCTCTTTCTGTCCCCCTTCTTTCTCTTTTGATTTCATGTATCTCTACTCCAGAGACTTGAAACAACTTAATCTTGCCCTTCCACTAGGGAAGAGAACCAACAACTTGCCTCTCCTGGGTGTTTTCCCTAATAGAATTTTATAGTCTTGTAAGATTGTTCATAATTGCTGGAGACATAGATAATCTGTTTTACTCTTGAATTTTGTACAGTTCAGCCTCTTTGATTCTAAAATGAGAACAGAAATTATTGTAACTTGAAGAACTTGTGTAAAAGACTTCAATACCTATGGATTCCCATTTTGCATGAAAATCTCAGGGTGTTTATAAAACAAACAGCTAATTGGGACATACTGAATGCAATATCAAGGTAAATACCAACATTTACCTTACCCAGCTCCTTCTCCCACTAGTCATGGTTTAAAGTCCTGACTGGTATTTCCAGGTCATTTGCTTTTTAAAGACTGAATAGTCAGAATTTTTGAGGGCAAATAAGCAGAGTGAGATAAAAGAAGGCAGCAAGTTAAGAAACCTATTCTGGCTTCCAGCACTTCTAAGTAATGCTGAAATCTGATAAATTTCTAAATCATTCAGTCCTCAAAATTATTTCCCCAGAGTAACAATGGCTGGGCTGATGGGAAGAGAAAATTCAGAGACACAGGAAAAATGAAAAACAATTTAGTTATTCTCTAAAAATTAAGAAAAATTAAGAATCTATCTGGATGTTTGAATACAATTGTGGGGATTGCAGGTGCATACACATATATGGAAAATATTCAATTGAAAAGACCTACTGAGATATTAGGTTTATAAGATATTTTAATAGAAAAAAATCAGATTTGTAGTTTCAATAAAGAGATTATGGATATGGAAAATATATACTTTATTTATTCACTTTAAAATAACTTAATTTAAATTGTGCAAGTGCTTGCAAAAAAAAAACAAACCTCGCAACATTATAGATGGGCTTGTTCTATAAGCTACTAGTTGTGGAAAGGCTCTTTCCCCCGAGTCAGTTCACAAGTCAGCACAAATTTCTTTTTTCTCTTCTAGACATCATCTACATTAATAATTCTGGCATTTAATTAATTAATACACCCGCATGACAAATCCTAGATCTATCAATTTTAGATATTGACTTTCTGCGATGGTAACTTCCTATCTCTGACCTGTAAATATGGTCATATCTTTATTTCCATTTCTTTTTATGGATTGCCACTGCCTTTCAAAGCACTGGGATTACACAAGCACCACAAAGGCGGAAATCTCCATTCCCCACCAGGAAAGGTGAGGGTGTCCTTGCCCTCACCGATCTCCAGCTGTACTTCCTCCCATCTTCTTAAAAGGTGGGTATTTTTTCATCTATTGTTGTTTTTTTTTTGGCGGGGGAGGAACCAACAGATAGAATATAGATTCATGCATTTTATGAAAAATAAAAAAATTCAGCATTTCAATCAATCCCAGAAAATCAGAACCTCTTATCTCCGCGGCATTTCCTTCACATTCACTCACTACTTACACCCAGTTGGAGAGTTTTCCCAGAGCCTTATCTAAGGAAAAATAAAATCACGTGAAAAAAATAAAACCACCCTAAACTCAGCTGTAGTTCCCTTCACCGCCCGGTCCCCCAACTTTCAGCGTCCCAGGCAGCCGGGCCGTCAGGCACCAGAGGCTCCGGAGGCGGTGGACTCCACTCGCAGGGAATTCCCATTTTGGCTGCTGTTAATATATATTTTTTTCTTTTTCTTTAAACAAGACTCTGGATTGACTTTAACTAAGAAGGTAAAATGTGATCGCTCTGATGGAGGACGGGGTGGGGTAGGGGCTGTGGCCGGGAGTGTGGGTCTAGGAGAACAGGGCCAGCGCAGCTGGCTACCCAGTTTAACCGGAATGAAAAGACCGCGACATCTGCTCCTGCTCCGCGTCTTGACAAGCCTCAATTTTGCACCAGGGTGTACCCGCCCGGCATTAGAATGAATCCGAACGTTAGAAGAGGGCTCCCCCGGTGTATCCTTGCAGGGGCCAGCCCGCGGAGCTGAGGTTCAGAAGTTCCCAACGTGACATCCGGGACTGACTTTCCTTGGAGGAGGGGAGGGGATCTGGGTCTAAGCAGGTTAGTTTCTGTTGAGCGGAAAAACCAAACCCTGTAACAGTCAACTGCCCTTCAGAGAGCGAGTAGCTTTGCGTCCCGATGCTCTGCGCTGACGTTTTCTGCCAGGCAGGTGGAGCCTGGTGGCGGGAGGAGCAGCTTCTCCACCCGCCACGTAGTTGCAGAAGAGGCTCCACCGCGCAAGGATGTTCTGCAGTGTCGCCTTGGGCGCCGGCTGATCGGTGGGTTGGGGCTAGCCGGAAACGCCAGCAGCTGGGTGGCCTCGGGATCTTGCAGCCTTCTGGGCATTTGCTAGCTACCTCATTGCCCAGCCCCAGCTCCCAGGCCGGGGGAGGAGGAGGGCTCCGCGAAGGTTAGCCCGCGCGGGGCAAAACGAGCATCCCGAGCACCCCGGATGCTGGATGCGCCTCGGATGACCAGAGCCAGTCCCTGAGAGTGCTACCTGAAGTCACGGTGGGACTGGTCCTCGGCCCCAGAGCTGAGTCTCAGGGGTCTTGGGGACTTGAAGGTGAAGGGCGTGGCGCCGGCTAGCAACTGGGAGTTGGCTGCAGCCGGGGGGGCAGAGCTAAGGGCGAATCTCGCATCCGGCGCCTTCAAGGTTTCTGAGGCTTCAAGGTGTGGCTAAGGTCAAAGCGCTGGCCGCTAACCCTGAACCCCAACCTTGTTGGATGTCCAGCAGAACCCAGCTCTGGCGGAGGCGCAAAGAGCTAAAGATTTGGAAAGTGTGGGCTTCTGCAAGGGTAGACTGCGGGATCCAGGAAAATCTAGTGTGTTAGTGGGTCTATTTCCATCACCTCTCATATATAGTAAATATTTTGAGGAAACAGTGACTGGTGCAGAGACGTCTTTGAGGGCTGGAGATGAATTAAAAAAGGTTCAAAACCAACTTGTTAACCCAAGTCCAGGTATATATGATACAGAACAAGGGATTTGGAGAACCTGGGGTAGGTTTTGAGGTACCGTCCAATCAGTCAACCTTGTCTGAAAAAGAAAACTTGAATTTTTTTATTTCAAAAATTTATTTTTATTTTTAGAGCTGCATTTCTTTGTTTTTCAGATGAGGAATTGAGAGATTGGGAGATACTGATTTGCTACGGATAAAACTGTTCCGCATTAATGAAGTCAGAAACGCATTCAACAGCACCTTTCAAAACACGTAAAGCTTTACAATTTCAAGCTAGTCAGACTGCAGTCTTGGACTTTTTTTCCCTTTCTCTCTTGAAATTTGTTTCATAAAAATCGAGAGGGTCACTACTATTGGAGTTTCCAAAATCTTTTGAACTTGAGAGGTTTTTGTGTGTTTTATTTATTTTTATTTTTATTTTTAAATTTTATTTCTTTTACAAAAGGAACAAAATGACCAGGGTTAATTTCATCAAAACAACGTAAAAAAATTGATGTTCTGCATAAACATTCATTTTTCATAAAAATGTAAACAGTATAATAAGAGAAAATAAAGTCATCTCTGCCCCAATGCTTACTTCATTAACATATCTATCGTGTTCCTTGCACACATTGTCTCTGTACTTACAGTCATACATACTTATGGTACTCTCTCTTCACTACTAGGATCTCATTTTCCTTCCAGACAGAAACTTGTTTTTGTTTTTTCCCCATTTAGCTATAATATATTCAGCGTTCTTGTAGAAGATGGACCTTACTTACCGGTTAGTGGCCTTTTCCACTCTTTCTCGAAGTCAGCCACACTCCTTAGGACCCTAGGTAGATGTAAATTGGTTATTTGTGACTTAATCCTTTCATGTTCAGCTAGAGCCCCAAGACCCTCTCATAAACTTGCAAAACCGGACTTCCTGCAGGAGAACGGAGATTACCTGTACTTTAAGTATAGAGGACTTGGTGGGGAGCACTTATCATTCGAAAAGGGATGGAAATTATACACACCCTAAGTGCAAATTTTTTGTAGGACCGGTTCTTTTTGTATTGGTCTTGGGTGTACGTTTAATCAAGCAGTGTCCAATACCCCAGGAGCGTTACTACTCCTGCAGAACGGGAGTTTTAAAAGCCAACAGGTGTTGGCTTTACAGGATGCCTTGTTGGCAACTCCAGGACTCTAATATCCCTAGAAGTCGCGTCCCTAGAATCTGATTCGGTTGAGTGACAAGATCCTACCACATAAAGGCAGGCTGATAGGGTGCCTGGTACCTCTGTTCAGGTTTCCTGGTTCTTAACATCAACTTCTAGTGCCTGCATTTGGATGGTAAGTGTGAGGGGCGCCGCTTTGAAACTTCCTGCCGGCTTAAACGCGATGCCTGTGCCCTGTGGGTTGGGAAGCCAGGTGGGCGCGGGCAGAGGGGCTGCCTTCTATGGGAAGCGGCCCTCGGCGGGGGTCCTGCAGGACCAGGACCCATTCCCCAGTCTCCAGTGGCCGCTTGCACATGGATCTCCTGGGCCTTCACTTCCCAGAGCAGGGCTTCCCTGTCCGCCCGCCGCTGGGGCCACTGCACTTGGAAGGTGCAAGTCCTGCAACCACCCGGGACTAAGGGCACTCCCACTCCACCGATACTGCTACTCACACTCGACTGTCCGGGCCAGACAGCATTAAACGAACCCGGTCATTTCACCGTCCAGCTGCCCTAGGACTGACTGCACGATAGCCGGCCGCTACAGCAATGCGCACATCTCCAACTGCAAGCTCCAAGCATTCTGCAATGCTGGGCTTCCTGGCGCCCCCCAGAGTCCAGGACATGTACTACGGCGTCATAGTTTCATTAGCTGCAGGTGGGATTTCCAGATGGTCGCTGCATCATGGTTATCTTCGTCACAGTCAGCAACAGCAGCAGCATTCCACGCCGGTTGGCCCGCGGTGATCTTCCTCCGAAGCTCTTCCTTGCAGGGGTCGGGCGAACCCCAGCCAACTTGACCAGCTTCTGGGGTGCAGCTCAGGAACCAATGCTCACTTTAACTCTGCTTCAGCCTCTGAGTTCTGTTGCCCGTTGTACTAATTACTACAACAGTTAGAATATGGAAAATGCTTCTATCCTCAGAATGAACTTTCCATTAAGGACAATTCTAACACTTTTATCATCTCAGCGGAGGTAACAATGTTTTCTGCGTTCTGTGTTCTGACACAAAGTCAATCTTTATATTCTCTATTTACATCACATTTGGATTTTTTTTAAAAGTGGATAATTAATGGGCCATGGTAGAAAGTACTTTTTCCCCCTTCAAAAGTGATCTCATTCCAAGTAGTTTTTAATATTTTCCTTACCATTTATTTTTTTTTTACATTTCAAGTCATTATTTCTAAAGTTCTTGATTACTGACAACTTTGTAAACTCGAAAATCAAGTTTAAAAAATTCGTTTGCATATGTACATTTTATATTTTGCAAAATTATATGAAATGTGTCTATGTCAAGCAGGTTCCAATAGGAAACGGGAGACATTTAAAATGGGCTATTGAAAACAAATCAATAAACTGTCTGTATTGGCAAGTCTGTCCAGGGACTGGAAAATCACCAGGGCACCAACAGCTCAAAGCACCACTCATCAGCCTTGACTGGGCAGATGGAGAAGCAGTCATTGGAACCCAAGGAGACCATAGCCTTAGGAGTCCTGCCAGCCAGAGGTTGTGTCCTTGGGAAGAGGAATAAAGTGACTGCCAATTGTGGCCCAGAAGGATGGAGTCTAGAAATAAATCCTGAAGAAAACCCTATTTCTCTCCTGATTTCCTGGCTACATGTAAATTCCAAACCAGAGGACAGGAGGCCAGTGGATACAGCTACTGGGAGAAGAGGGAGAGTGGATCTATGGAAGGGCCCAGGCTTTGGTATGACTACCATACTCAGGGTGTGAAATATAATGCATAGTAGGAAGGAATCTTAAGGGCTGCTCTTATTCTCAGGAAGTTTATGGCCCAGGTGGGGACACAGGAAAAAATGAATAACAATACAATGTTGTCAGGCAGAAGGTTCCTCTCCTCCTTTCTCTGGCTGACATCACTTCCTAGAAAGTTCAGGCAACACCCTTGTATTTTGCCTCTTAAAAATGCTATTAGTTGGAAATACTAGTCCTCAAGGAAGCTTTTGCAAAATTTAGAGTAGATTAATACTGGTGGGGATGAGAACATTAAAATATATATATTTTTCTTTTTTTCCTGGTGGTGCCACAAATTGAACTCAGGGCCTTATGCATGTGCAGTAAACACTCTACCTCTGACTTACACTTTCAGACCCCAAATAATATGGATTAATAAATTCCATTCTCCATGTTCTTATTGATCACATCGTTACTTAAGATTTTGCATGAGCTTTGTTACTGCAAGTTATGTTTTCTGAAAAAGCTTAGTGACTTTTGGGTGCTTTCCCCATTATCATTTTGTGGGTATTGGGTTTTGTAGAGGATTTTTTTTTTTTTTAGAGAGAGAGAGAAAAAATTTTAATATGTATTTTTCAGTTTTCAGTGGACACAACACCTTTATTTTATTTTTATGGGGTGCTGAGGATTGAACCCAGCGCCCCGTGCATACCAGGTGAGCATGTTACCTCTTGAGCCACATCCCGAGCCCATATAGAGGATTTCTACAATTGACTTTTCAGGAAGCATGCTTGTGGTCAAAGGTGCAGCTACCTGGATCCCAGTTAAATACATTTAAATACATTTCAAATTGTCAGACCAGCACTCACATGATGAGCACTGTATTGAACTGAGACCAGGGCTTCCCCTTGCCCCAGGTAGGATGTGATAGTAGCATTTGTTAGTGTCCCAAAGCCTCTGTTCTACCAGTAGAACTTTAGTTGTCCTTTGGAGGAAGTTGAGCTTCTGGTATCCTTAGCTATGAGGTCTGTGTGGACATCACTCTTCTTGGGGGATCCCTGCATGTCTCAAGCTATCATTACCAAATTGAAGAGTGGGCATGCAACTCAATTCAGGGCTGAGAGGGTGTGAATGGAAGGGGCTTTCCTTGGGCACAATGAAGGATGGACAGTGACCAGCAGTCATTTGGTTCACTAGAGGACAGCCTGGAGGGTACTGAGTGGAACCTGGGTTCGAAGCTATCATTGTGGGAGGAAGAGTAAGGGCACCAGAGAAACCAGATCCTATGTGACAGTATCTGAGTCCCTGAATCAAGCCTCCTGGGAGATGAGATTGATGCCTGAGTGAGTCAGTTATGTAAGCAAGTGCAGTCCATGGTTAAACTCCTTTAAGCAGTTTTCTTCTCACTTGAAATAAAGGGATTCATAACAGACAGAAGATCTGCCGCAGTCCAGCTGCAGCAAAATAACCGGGGGGTGACGAGGAACTTGTGTACATTGATACAGCAGGAGTGGGAGCCATTTATTGTAGGACAGGAGGGGTATATATACATTCCACACAGCTTATCTTAATTAACATAAACTAGATACAGCAGTCAACCAATAAGGAATCTCCACACTTAATGGCTCGCTGGCGTTACTTCACAAACCACTCCCTCTGGCAAAATGCCAGGCGCCATCCTGACTTGTTTACAGACTCTAACAAAGATCAGGGGATGGGGCACATTAATTTTTCTGGTTGGCACAAGGAAATACCTGTACGAGGTATCCTTGAACTAGTAATCGCCATTTGCATTGCCTGGGAGATTGGCAGAAATGCTGGGTTGGTTCTGGTCTAGAATAGTGCTTCTCAAACGTGAATATACATACAGATCTTGAGATTTTGCTAAAATGCTAACTCTGATTGAGTAAATTGTATACTTTTAACAAGTTCCCAGGTGAGGCTCACAGACCACACTTTGAGAGCAAGGCCTGAGATCTCTGATTCCTACTGACTTCTTAGGGACCATTGTTTGATTGTTTGTTTGTTTCTGAATAGTGAACATTTATTGAGGACCTTTTCTTGCTCAGGAGTAAGTGCTTCAGGTATATTCTTTCATAAAGTTAGTAAAATATTCTTGTGAGTTAGATGTTATGAATCTTTAGTGACCACTCAGTTCAGGAGCAGACACTGAAGAGTCATTTCAAGACAGCCACTAGACAGTGTTGGGTGATTTCTTGCTTTGGGCCATGTTCGCTTTGCCTGCCACCTCTGCCCAGCCTGCTCTCCTATCCTGAAATGGGATTGGTGGGTTGAAGAGTGCTCCTTTCTCTTCTCCAAAGTCTGATAGAACTGGACCGGAGGAGCCAGTCAGTCACAAGTCCACAGTGTTGATGGAGAGTGAGCACCCACCCCCCACTGCGCTTTTCCACTCACCTCACTGCCAACTCGTTATTGTTTAACATCACAGGAATCTATTTCTTGTTTGCTTGTCTCTCTTACTAGATTAGAGTCAGGCTCTTCCTGTAATACAACACACTAGAATTAGATACTGAGTCTTGCTAACCTCTATAAACCAGCAACTCTCAAAGTAGGCAGCACACTGGAATCAACGGAAACTTGGAAAAAAAAAAAAAAAAGACCAAGGCTTGCTTTAGCTCTTGGAGATTCTGATTTAATTGGTTTGGTGCATTTCAATTTTAAAATTTCTTGAAGTGCTTCTAACTGTGACTATT